CCTTTTACATTCTTGAAGCATGGTTTTGGGTGCGGATATCCGCCTTTTACATTCTTGAAGCATGGTTTTGGGTGCGGATATCCGCCTTTTACATTCTTGAAGCATGGTTTTGGGTGCGGATATCCGCCTTTTACATTCTTGAAGCATGGTTTTGGGTGCGGATATCCGGCTTTTACATTCTTGAAGCATGGTTTTGGGTGCGGATATCCGCCTTTTACACTCTTGAAGCATGGTTTTGGGTGCGGATGTCCGCCTTTTACATTCTTGAAGCATGGTTTTGGGTGCGGATATCCGCCTTTTACATTCTTGAAGTCTGGTGTTGGGTGCGGATATCCGGTTTTTACATTCTGAAGCTATTGTTCTGGGTGTGATATCCGCCTTACATTCTTGAAGCATGGTTTTGGGTGTGATATCCGCCTTTTACATTCTTACATGCTTTTGGGTGCGGATATCCGCCTTTTTACATTCTGCAGTTATTAGGCGGTGCGGATATCCGCCTTTACATTCTTACATGAGTCTATGGATATCCGCTTTTTTAGTCGTTTATATGGTTTTGGGTGCGGATATCCGCCTTTTACATTCTTGAAGCATAGTTTTGGGTGCGGATATCCGCCTTCTACATTCTTGAAGCATGGTTTTGGGTGCGGATATCCGCCTTTTACATTCTTGAAGCATGGTGTTGGGTGCGGATATCCTCCTTTTACATTCTTGAAGCATGGTTTTGGGTGCGGATATCCGCCTTTTACATTGTTGAAGCATGGTTTTGGGTGCGGATATCCGCCTTTTACATTCTTGAAGCATGGTTTTGGGTGCGGATATCCGCCTTTTACATTCTTGAAGCATAGTTTTGGGTGCGGATATCCGCCTTCTACATTCTTGAAGCATGGTTTTGGGTGCGGATATCCGCCTTTTACATTCTTGAAGCATGGTGTTGGGTGCGGATATCCTCCTTTTACATTCTTGAAGCATGGTTTTGGGTGCGGATATCCGCCTTTTACATTCTTGAAGCATGGTTTTGGGTGCGGATATCCGCCTTTTACATTCTTGAAGCATGGTTTTAGGTGCGGATATCCGCCTTTTACATTCTTGAAGTCTGGTGTTGGGTGCGGATATCCGGTTTTTACATTCTTGAAGCATGGTTTTGGGTGCGGATATCCGCCTTTTACATTCTTGAAGCATGTTTTGGGTGCGGATATCCGCCTTTTACATTCTTGGCTTTTGGGTGCGGATATCCGCCTTTTACATTCTTGAAGCATGGTGTTGGGTGCGGATATCCGCCTTTTACATTCTTGAAGCATGGTTTTGGGTGCGGATATCCGCCTTTTACATTCTTGAAGCATGGTGTTGGGTGCGGATATCCTCCTTTACATTCTTGAAGCATGGTTTTGGGTGCGGATATCCGCCTTTTACATTGTTGAAGCATGGTTTTGGGTGCGGATATCCGCCTTTTACATTCTTGAAGCATGTGTTGGGGGATATCCGCCTTTTACATTCTTGAAGCATGGTTTTGGGTGCGGATATCCGCCTTTTACATTCTTGAAGCATGGTTTTGGGTGCGGATATCCGCCTTTTACATTCTTGAAGCATGGTTTTGGGTGCGGATATCCGCCTTTTACATTGTTGAAGCATGGTTTTGGGTGCGGATATCCGCCTTTTACATTCTTGAAGCATGGTTTTGGGTGCGGATATCCGCCTTTTGCATTCTTGAAGCATGGTTTTGGGTGCGGATGTCCGCCTTTTACATTCTTGAAGCATGGTTTTGGGTGCGGATATCCGCCTTTTACATTCTTGAAGCATGCTTTTGGGTGCGGATATCCGCCTTTTACATTCTTGAAGCATCCTTTTGGGTGCGGATATCCGCCTTTTGCATTCTTGAAGCGTGGTTTTGGGTGCGGATATCCGGCTTTTACATTCTTGAAGCATGGTTTTGGGTGCGGATATCCGCCTTTTCCATTCTTGAAGCATGGTGTTGGGTGCGGATATTCTCCTTTTACATTCTTGAAGCATGGTTTTGGGTGCGGATATCCGCCTTTTACATTCTTGAAGCATGGTTTTGTGTGCGGATATCCGCCTTTTACATTCTTGAAGCATGGTTTTGGGTGCGGATATCCGCCTTTTGCATTCTTGAAGCATGGTTTTGGGTGCGGATATCCGCCTTTTGGTTTGCTCACGTGGATTTGGGTAGACCATTTGAATACCAGGTATTGATTGTCCAGCCCAGCGGAATCGCCAAGGTGTCTCATTGGTTTGGAATTGGAGTTGGCCTTGTTTGAGAGGGCAGTTTTGGGAACTTTTTACCCACCCCACCAAACCAATTCGGCAACAGAAAGCTGAAGTGAAGTGATTTGCCATGGCCTCGGATTGGCCAAGCTTCCAACAACAGGCGCTGTCAGCCCTCGACCTTTTCCAGGATCTCTCCACTCGCGGGACATGGCCACGCAAGAAGTGGGCCCGTCTTTTTCGGAGGGTACCTGTTGTTTGGGGGGGTTAAGGGAGGCCAGAAGGAAAGCAACCATTTATGAATTTGATGATTTTGTTTTTTTTTGGGGTTGGGGGGGGGGGTTCCCTGGCAACCGACACACTCAGTTGTTCTTTGTTTGCCGGCCTTGGGAACTGAAGCCTAAGGCTGCGAACCCTGAACCAGCAAACTCTGCACTGGTACTGGACGCCTTGCAGAGCGACTTGTTCCCAGGAAGATGTCCAAAGTGTTGAGATGCTCGCCGTGTCTTCCATTTGCCGCCCAGAAACCTGGAAGCTGCAGTGTCCAAATGTTTCATTCTGAATCTCAGGCTGCAACAAGGCGTCTACAGTAGAAAAGTACATTGGGAGGTGAAATGTGCTCCCACTGCCCATTCACTTCCTCCACTTGCAAATGCCGTGCTCAAGTCGCTGTGGGTCAAAACCAATGGGATCCTATTTTGGGGTAGGTGAGGTCATCACCATTGAACCTATCTTAGTGGGGAATGGGATGTTCACTGGGGTACGATTTGGATTTTGACCCATGGCCTGTGGGTAAATTCGCACAATTCCTTTCTCCGAAGCTTCAGAAAGAGAGTTCTCCGCCTGAGGATTGTAGTGCCAAGCTGCCCACGCTTTTTGTTCGTGCCACGAGTGACGCGCTCGGAGCGCGCAGCGGCGTTTTCGAGGCACCAAAGCTGGGCGGCATTTGGGACGTGATCCAGGCAGCTGGGAACCGGCGGATGACTGGCTGGGCGTTGTGGCTAATCCACGGTAGGGTGATTTGAGAGGACCGGGCCATGGGTGTAGGAATTTCTCAAGTTCGACCTAAGCTTTTGGTTCAATGATTTGGTCCATATGGGCAGGTCAAAATTAGACCGCCAGGGCACCGCAGGCTTCGTCCAGGTTTCCACATGGCAACGCATTGTTGGATGACCAACTATTTTTGAGCACCGCAGCTTCTTTACTGTCCCACCTTTAGTTTCTACCCACAAACCCCCCACCCCCTCCCCCCCCAAAAAAAAACAAGAATCCCCGCGGATCATAAATCCAGGTTGCTCCAGTCGTCTCAATTTCGCGCAGGGGGTGGACAACTACACCAAGAAGGGCAGCGGCAGCATCCAAGGGCCACTGGCCGGAGCCCCTTGGCCTGGGATTCGATTCCCCGGATCCGAAGCCGAGCGCGCGAGCGGAGCGGATAAGCCGAAGCCGATGCCGCGGGAGGCGCTGCTTGCTCTTCGTGGTGGGAGTGCGGTGGATTTTTTGGGTTTTCCAATCCAGGATTGGGCATTTTGGGTGTCCAGTCCATTCCCGCAAATTGATTTTGCCAAAATGTCTTGGCGTGGGTGGTCTTCTCCTGAGGTGTTTTTGCTGCATCCGAGGTGCCTTGGCTGACCGTCTTCTACTTCGTCATCTTTTTCTGGTCTGGGACCCGGGCAACGAGTAAGCGGCACTTTACCCCTGAGCAACCTGAGGCTCATCAACCTCTTCGTGTCTGAGGGTGGCAAGCCAGTGGAGACCCTCAAGTGAGGCAGGTCCAAGATGGCGGCCCTGTGCTCTTGGCCAAAAAAACACTGGCATCGGTCCCCCAGTGCCGACCTAGACTGGCATTTGTGTCTGACTGCTTGGCCAGGAGCTCTGAGAAGGCTTCCAAAAATTTTCGGAGGCGTTTCAATAGTCGAAATTTCCGGACGCCCAAGGGGACCTAAGAGTGATGGCAAGGTCAGCGGTGTCTTGTTGCGAAGCCGAGATGGTCCCCAGAGGCAAAGGTGTTCAATCCTGGCTGCGTTCCAGCCCCGGCATGTGCACCTGGGAGCAGCAACGGCTTGGAGCGCTGAAAGGAATCAAAGGAATCAAGACACAGAGTACGCAGTTTCCAACCTTGAGACTTGGAGGATAGCATGAATGATCCCTGGTCACCCTATAAAGGGAAATGTAGAAAACTGGGCAGATGCGTATGATAGCTTTAGATTCTTGGTGCAAGGTGCAGTTCGTTTGGCCTTTCGTGTTTCCGCGCTCGAGTAGCTTACATGTTCAGGTCGGGTCAGTGGGTCTGGAGTGATTCAAGGTTGCTGCCTCCGGCGCGCATACACAGAGATGCGAGCGGGCGGCGGCTGCAAAAGGTGCCAGTTTGGCTTTGCGGTGTTTGCACCAGGGATACAGAAGCTTCTGGGAGCGCTCCAGGGTTCCTTCTTCTGTTGAGTCTGGCAGGACCCGTCGGGATTTGTATTGCATTCTGATCGAAATGATCTTGGCGTTTCGTCTTCCCACCTTGGGTTTCCGGGTGCTTGGGGCAAAATCCATCTGAGCCAGGTGCTCAAAACCTGGGTAGAAGGTTGGTAAGGGACAATCCCTTCGTATGTCCTTCCATGGTTCTGGGTCAGCCATTTTAATGCCGGGTTTTGATTGTGACTCAACTGTGAGTCCTTACCAACAGAAATTCGGCTGAAGCCATGTAAGTTCTCGGATGGCAGGCATGCCAGCCACATGACTCGACCAGCGGCGGATCTTTGGCTCGGCCATCGCACCGACTTTGCGCATAGGCTCCGGCGACGGCGGCCAAGAAGCTGCGGGAGCTGGGCCTCGCACAGGCGAACTGTCCTTGGGTCCGTTGATTTCCATTGGGTGAAGAGCAGCTGTGTTTTTTGTTTTTCTTGTTTTTCTTGTTGTTGTTTTTTTTTTGGTGTGTTTTCCCCTGTTGGTTTTAGAGAGAATCTACGCTTCCGTTTGACGAAGAATCTGTTTTTTTTTCCATTTTCCCCTGGAGCTTTCATTTGATAGCTTCCATAGAGTCCAAAGCGAGCAATGAGTGCGGTGCGGCTGTGGGTGATGTGTTTCCCCTGTTGGTTTCAAAGGGATTCTATCACTACTGAGATTCGAGGCACCGAAACATGACTTGTGTTGTCCAGGAAATCGAAGGTTGCCAGAAGCGTGGCTCAACCGAGACCATTTTTCCTTCCCCAGAAATAGCTCCCCTTTTTCATTTCTGCTTTTGTGGTTTTGTACCAGGCAAAAAATAGAGTTTTCTTTGTCTGGGTCCTAATTCCAGCCAAGTGTCCGTGTATTATCCCAAAAAAATCGAGCAATTGCCAGAACCGTGGCTTAACTGAGGCCATTTTGTCCGCTGGTGCCTATCATAGGCCGTTCGCTCGTTCCTCGCGGCGCGTAGGCGAGCTTCTTCTCCAAGGCTCTTTGCGGCACCATCCTATTCCAGAAGGCCGCGGTTGGGTGGTGCCTTCCACAGACATGTGGCGGTGGTCAAAACCGTTTTGGGATCAACCATTTTGGTGGGTAGGTGAATGAATTCACCACCCATGTTAGAACCTAGTTTGGTGCTTGGATTGGTTGTTGGGGGTACGGAATTTTGGGTTTTGAGCCATGGCCATGTGGGTTTGCCCAAACTGGCTTCAGCTAGCACCTTGCGTGGTCCAATACAAACCGACCAAAAGCGGTACCCATATCACAAACTTGGGGTGCCCTCAGGAGGATCTGCAGAAGCTGCCAATTCCGCTGGAGGACTTCTCGCTTCAAACGGTCTTCAGGCCGGAGGTTGGCGCATTTTCGGTCACCCAAAGAGGGCCAGAGCCACAAAGTCTAGTTGTTCGAAGGACAGCGTTTGGGCAGTGAGACTTGCAAATTGAGCCAAGTCCTGCGGAGCTCCAAGAACTTCAGCTCTCAACCTTGACTCTGTGGAATTCTCCAAGTCTCCTTCTTAGGGATTCACTATATGCCATATTTGGTCCAGGGTTCCCTGGTTGGTGTTAATGGGACTCTAGCACCACAGGTGGAGTATTTATTTTCAACCGCTGGGGGGCAAATGGCCAATGGAAGGCGCGGGCCTTTGCCAGGCTATCTACAGCTGGGTACTCTGTGCCAGACAACACCATCGATGAGCCGGGCGCCAAATGCGGAGCAGGTCCATTGGCTTGGTTGTAGAACCCTGATGGGTGTTTAAGGAAAAATGACACGTTGCAGACCTACAGGGTACCCTTGAAAGAGGGAGGGAGAGAGAGAGAGAGAGAGAGAGAGAGAGAGAGAGGAATTTTCGATTGAGGCAAAATCAGATCAGATGGTTGTTTTGCAACTGCATGTCGAGGTCCGAGGAGGAAGTGGAGAGCGCTCCGTGCCGCTGACTCCTTGAGCACCGGAACCAAGACCTACCTGGTGTTGTGTGGCTGTCCACGGTGTAGTCCATGGTAAAAAGCGTAGAGCACACCATCCCCCCACCCCCCATCCATGCCCCCCATGCCGCCCATCGCCCCCATGCCCCCCCATCCCCCTCATCCCCCCCACCCCCAATCCATCCCCAATCCATCCCCAATCCATCCCCAACCCCCCTTCTCCCCGGTAGCTCGGTGCCAGGTCTCCAGTTCCACAACCTCCGCAGCCATCCTGGGCTGAGGTCAAGGACTCCGATTTCTTGCGTCTTTCGAAGCCATCTCAGAATTACTAGTGTTATAAAGCGATAAGTATCTCGAACCCTAGCATTGAGAAATCAAGTTTTAATTCATATATTGCCCCTATGTGTTACTTGAACGATTCTATTTGCTCTTTGGAGTTAAACTACAATGTATCGGCAGTTTGAATCGGACCCCCCGAACATCGAATGGGAACAACGCTTGGTGCTTTTGGTTGAGCCATGGAGCTTCACACAGCGATGTGGCCAGGCGGCTGCAATGACGGCTGCGTTCCAGAGGCCGCTCCCCCAAGTGATCTCTTTGCCATACCGCTGGGCTGCGAGAAACGAAAGGTATTGAGCTGCCAGCTGGTGATAGATACATTGACCTCACCGCATGCAGTGAAGGACCGCCAGGAAGCCAACCTGTTAACTACTTCAGGATGAATGAACCAACCCGTAAACCACTCCGGGATGAATAAACTAACCCATAAACCACTCCGGGATGAATCAACCAACCCATAAACCACGCCGGGATAAATACACCAACCCATAAACCACTCCGGGATGAATAAACCACGGGATAAATAACCCCATAAACCACACCGGGATAAATACACCAACCCATAAACCACACCGGGATAAATACACCAACCCATAAACCACTCCGGGATGAATACACAAACCCATAAACCACACCGGGATAAATACACCAACCCATAAACCACACCGGGATAAATACACCAACCCATAAACCACACCGGGATGAATACACCAACCCATAAACCACGCCGGGATAAATACACCAACCCATAAACCACACCGGGATAAATACACCAACCCATAAACCACACCGGGATAAATACACCAACCCATAAACCACTCCGGGATGAATACACAAACCCATAAACCACGCCGGGATAAATACACCAACCCATAAACCACTCCGGGATGAATACACCAACCCATAAACCACGCCGGGATGAATAAACCAACCCATAAACCACTCCGGAATGAATCAACCAACCCATCAACCAGTCCGGGATGAATAAACCAACCCTTTAACCACTCCGGGATGAATAAACCAACCCATAAACCACGCCATGATAAATACACCAACCCATAAGCCACTCCGGGATGAATAAACCAACCCATAAACCACGCCGGCATAAATACACCAACCCATAAACCACTCCGGAATGAATAAACCAACCCATCAACCACTCCAGGATGAATAAACCAACCCATAAACCGCGCCGGGATGAATAAACCAACCCATCAACCACTCCGGGATGAATAAACCAACCCAAAAACCACTCCAGGATGCACAAAACCAACCCAAAAACCACGCCGGGATGAATAAGCCAACCCATGAACCACTCCGGCATGAATAAACCAATCCATAAACCACTCCGGGATGAGTAAACAACCCATAAACCACTCCGGGATGAATACACCAACCCATAAACCACTCCGGGATGAATAAACCAACCCAGAAACCACGCCGGGATGAATAAACCAACTCGTAAACCACTCCGGGATGAATACACCAACCCATAAACGACGCCGGGATAAATACACAAACCCATAAACCACTCCGGAATGAATGAACCCACCCATAAACCACTCCGCGATGAATAAACCAACCCATAAACCACGCCGTGATGAATACACCAACCATGAATGAACCAACCCACAAACCACGCCGGGATGAATAAACCAACCCATAAACCACGCCGGGATGAATAAACCAACCCATTAACCGCTTCAGGATGAATAAACCAACCCATAAACCACTCCGGGATGAATAAGCCAACCCATAAACCACGCCGGGATGAATAAACCAACCCATAATCCACGCGGGGATGAGTAAACAACCCATAAACCACTCCGGGATGAATACACCAACCCATAAACCACTCCGGGATGAATAAACCAACCCAGAAACCACGCCGGGATGAATAAACCAACTCGTAAACCACTCCGGGATGAATACACCAACCCATAAACGACGCCGGGATAAATACACAAACCCATAAACCACTCCGGAATGAATGAACCCACCCATAAACCACTCCGCGATGAATAAACCAACCCATAAACCACGCCGTGATGAATACACCAACCATGAATGAACCAACCCACAAACCACGCCGGGATGAATAAACCAACCCATAAACCACGCCGGGATGAATAAACCAACCCATTAACCGCTTCAGGATGAATAAACCAACCCATAAACCACTCCGGGATGAATAAGCCAACCCATAAACCACGCCGGGATGAATAAACCAACCCATAATCCACGCGGGGATAAATAAACCAACCCATAGAACAACGCCGGGATGAATAAACCAACGTATCGTAAACAACTCCGGGATGAATAAGCCAACCCATAAACCACGCCGGGATGAATAAACCAACCCATAATCCACGCCGGGATAAATAAACCAACCCATAGAACAACGCCGGGATGAATAAACCAACTCGTAAACAACTCCGGGATGAATAAACCAACCCATAAACCACTCCGGGATGAATTCACCAACCCATAAACCACTCCGGGATGAATAGACCAACCCATACACCACTCCGGAATGAATAAACCAACCCATCAATCCCTCTGGGATGAATAAACCAACCCATAAGCCACTCCGTGATGAATAAACCAACCCATGAACGCCTTCGGGATGAGTACACAACCCACAAACCACGCCGGGATGAATAAACCAACCCATCAACCGCTCCAGGATGAACCCCGGGATGCATAAAACAACTCCGGGATGAATGAACCAACCCACAAACAACTTCTGAATGAATGAGTTTCACGCGCAGGTGCCTGAAGTCGCTGATGGCGCTGAACAGCGGCCATGAAGATCAGGAGAGGTGTGGAAAGTCTTCTGCTTGCCTAATCTGTGTCCCATGCGATATGGAATCACCAAAAGGGGTGGTGGTTGTTTGCTTCCTTTAATCAAGCCCCGAGAAGGGTACCTCACATGAAAGGTTGCAAGAGTCCATTGGCGCGGTTGCCTCGCGACTCGGCGAGCTGGTGGCGTTTGCTTTCCTTCAGGATCTCATGGTTGACTGCAAGACGCCCATGTCAAATGAGCGGACCGCCAGGGTCTCAGAGTCTCGGTGTTGCTCGCGCAGCTTGCGCGCGCGAGCAGACTGAGCCAGCTCTGCCACTAGCTTGCATGAGTGCATGAGCCAACGCATCATGAGAAACACGCACATACCTTCACTTGTGTCTACACTCCTAACAAAAATCTCACTTTAACTCGGCCCCAAAGGCGTCGTTTTCCACCAACAGTGAGCCAACAAAAACCCAGATGACTCAGTCATGTGGTGTTTTTGTTGGCTCACTCTTGCCGGAAAAACCCACGCCCGCGCCTGAAAGACTCCCAGAGCTTCCGTCACGGCATGCCCCTGCGTTGTACACCAATACACAATGGAGGTCCCCAACTATCGATTAATCTCTTTCTGAATTGGGTAGAAAACATGAGAAAATCACTGCTTTTCCAGGACCACATGAAAAAGCCATTTTGTCCACATGTACACTACAGTTGTTCCACCCGAAAACCTGTATTTGTCCACATGTACAGTGCTTTCCCACGTCAAAACATGTGGTTCCGTATCCAAACATGTGTTTTCCACGTGCAAACTGCAGGTTGCCCACGCGGCACTCCTTGGACTGGCGTGGGCACGTTGTGGAAAGTATGTCGGGACATATTGCGGACAGTGTGTGGAAGCAAGTGGCTGTGGGTCAAGACCGTTTTGGATCCCATTTTGGGGTAGGTGAATTTAGAACCTATTCTAGTAGGGGATTGGGATGTTCACTGAAAGTACGGGGTTTTGACCCATGGCCAAGTGACTTTCTGTGGAAACTATGCAGAAACTTTGCGGAACAACATGCGTGGAAACGTGGTGGACCCGTGGTGGAAACTTTGCGCAAGCTTTGTGGAAGATACGCAGAAACTGTGTGGAACATGTGGAAACTTCGGAAACGGTGTGGATACGTTGTAGAAACTATGCAAAAAAAACCTGCAAACTGTGCGCAAACTGTGTGGATGGAAACATTGTGGACACCTATTGAATATGCTACATCGTGTAGAAAACCAGCAAAAGACACGTGGGACACATGTGCGAGTTGAGCCTCAAAAGCAAGCAACGCGTGGAAACATGTGTGGTTTGGGCTCCAACATGCCACAACTTGAGACGTTTGAAAAGTATAGAAGTGCACCCAATAGATACCGAGCGAGGGCACCCGGTGCCCGACCTCCCTAGCAAGCACGTGGTTGCTGTTGCTCCTTGAATCCACTTGAACTGCCTTCAACTGCCCTAGTCACGATGCTGTGGCAATGCCGCTTCATTTGTTGCTTCATACATGTGTGAAAATTGGCCGCACAAGGTGCTGCGCTGGTTTCGGTCAGCAGTGATGATGATGTCGGTGCGCCCTTCACGTCTAGACGTGCTGCAAGTTGCACATTGCCCCCTTACCGGCAGCCAAGGGGAAAGGGGCAACAGGCAGATTGGCAAGTGAGTTGCTGAAGGGCAAAGTGCACCCCGTGCCAGTTGAGCGCCTTCTTGGTCAGCCTCGAAGGCTTTGCAAGTCAGGCCAAGTGCATGTATTTACAGTCGTTGCGACCAACGTTGAAGCGTTCGGAACATTCGTCTTTGTATTTCTTGAGTTGGGGCTGTGTCGTTTTTTGAGTTGGTACCCCCATGTTTGGTGGTTTTCAAAAGAAAGCCCATGGAAAACCACCATTTCGGTCCCCTAAAAAGGAGACACCCGGGGGCTTGACTTGGCAGATGAACGGCTTGCTCCTTGCAGCCATGTCGCTGATGTGCGTGCCACGAGCCCAGCGGATTCTGCTCTCGCCAGCTCAAACTGTTGACCCCATATTAGTCAACCCCAGTTTATTAATAGGGGGTGTCCCTGAATTTGGGGAATCATCACTTGGGAACCACCTATTACCAAATCTGGGGTTGATTTGTGCGGGGTCAACATTCCCAATTTGGGCTTTCGCATGCGGCGATTGAGTGAGGCTTTGGCCGCTCAGCCAGTTCTACCGCAGGCCCGACTTCTGTTTTGCGGGCCGCCGACTTCGGTTTTCTGCGGCCCAGCGCCCAGGTCCCTGACGATCCAAAAACCGGCGGCCCGGACCTGAGCTTCGTGAGCGGCGCGTGATTTTTTGTTTGGCGCGGATGGCTCTCAGGGCCTTGGCCAGCCGGAAACGGACAGGGCGATGCCGCAGGCCTTGCGACAAGACTGCGATGGACACGGAGTGGGGTCACTGGCAAAATGGATGTGTCCTGAAAGCCACCAAGGAAACGGTACGCGCAAAAAAGATAGGCCCATTTCAGGTTGAAGAGAGGTGCCATGTTGTTGGTTGTGGTGGATTATGTGTTTGTTCGACGTGTTGCAAGCCTGAGATGCTGTTCACTGGCAGTGACCTTCATGAAAGTGAAAATTGGTGCAAACCTCGAGTTCTAAACTAAACTACCAAACTTGCTGGTGCTGAGCGGATGTGATTCTTTCGGCTCCTTCGGTGTCGCCAAAAGCTCCGAACTCTGATCAAGCCTGTTGACCTTAGCTTTCGGTGGCTCGGAAACTGGAGTTGGACTCGGAGGCGAAATCTGCGAAGCCCTGCTAAAAGTGACTAACTTTTGGTGGTGTAATACGGGGAAAACCCAAATTCGTGGGCAAAAAGTGATTCGGTCCTAACATCCCTTGGCAACATGCACCAAAGGTTGGATTGGACTCGGATTGAATTGGACTGAGGCTGGGCTGGAGTGAACTTGGGCTTGGGGCACATGGGTCATTCGGTGTTCGATTAGCCCAAGGTTCCAAGCTCGACTTACTTACCAGTGACCGGCACCAAACGAAGAAAAAACAACAACCGTGACTGCATCCTGTGAGGGAATGAACCCAGGCGTCCCCTAGGAAACCACCAGTTGGATGGTGTATAGGGGCCATTCCCTCATTCCCTGCCTATCGCACCAGCAAGCAAAGCGCTACGAGGGAAGCTGAACCTGATCCGAGTGGGTGTCTCGGGACCAAAAAACCACCTGGCAGGCTCTTGGCTATTCACTGGCCATGGTTCTAGCGTCTGTGCTTGTGCCCGCCTCAAATGCAAAGGCCTTTGCACTGTGTATCTCAAGTGGTGCGAGCTTTCTGAGGTTGTGCATGCAGCCTTCGAGGTGCAGACATAGATGTTGCGACGCTTTCGGATTTGAACGAGTTGCCATTTGCAACGAATGTGGCAAGCACAATCTGTTCACAAGTCATGACGGGTTTGACGCTCGTTTCGCCAGGAAGCGGATAAGATTCAATATCTATCGCAAAGCAAAAGGTGCCAATGTGTTTGCTTTCTCCAAATCTGTGTGAAATTCCGAAAAATCAGAAACATGGCGGTTGGGGCGCTTGGCACAGTCATGGTCGGGTCAGTCGCTCGCGATGACCGAACAATTGGGACGGGATGGTCGGCACTGTCGGGGCAGTTGGGTCGGTTGGGTCGGGATGGTCGGGGTGGTTATACGGTTGGGGTGGTCAAAACGGTGGGATGGTCGGCACGGACACATGGTCCGGATGGTCGTGGTGGTTATGAGATCGTAAGGGGTTGTTTGGGTTGTCGGAGCGGTTGGGAGGGTCGGGATGATCGGGATGTGGATGGTCGGGATGGTCCGGCTGGTTGGGATGGTCAGGATGGTCGGGGTGGTCGGGCAGCTGAGATAGTCGGGACGTGGTTGGGGTGGCGGTCGTCGGATGGCTGGCGCGTGTTGGCTTCACCACCGTCAGCCCACTTACGTCGGCCAAATTTCACCTCGCCGTCGCCCGAAACGACATAATCGTCGGCCGAAAGTGTCGGCCGAATTTTGCCTTGCTGTTTGCCGAGTTTCACAAGGGTGTCGGCCGATCAAGTCGGCCGTAATTCACATTAACCATCTGTTGTGTGCGTTTCTGCACGGAAACAGAGAGGAAAACCAATTTTGGGGGGTCGCAAAGGCAAGATGTTGCTTTCAGATGCACATGGTCTGATTTGTGGCACCCACGGCTGCACTGAATCTGGGTGTTTGAAACTTTTGTGTGTTGGTTGGCGTGCATCTTGTTCAAAAGACTTGTTGTTTGTCGTGCTATTGTTTGTTCAGTTGGTTGGGTGGTTGTTTGTCTGAATTAAATCTGTTCAAATCCGGGCGTAGGTATTTGTGTTTGTCGTTGTGTTATCTTGTTGTTGTTTGTGTGTGTGTGTTTGTGTGTGTCTTTTTGGGATGTGTGGTGTCTGGTTTGTTTTGTGTTGTTTTTGTTTTGTTTATGTCAATTTTGTTAATTGGTGGTTTTGTGTATATTGGTGTATTGTGTTTGGTGTATATATTAGCTTGATTGGTGTATTGTGTTTGGCTTTAGATAGGTGTTGGGTGGTGTGGTTTGGAGGTAAGGCATTATAAGGTTTTTATATGGTTGTTTGGTTGGATTTTGATCGGTTTTTAGAGGATTTAAGTTTTTAGCAGGGAATTTGATTGGGGGGAATTTGATTTGATGTATATGGGAGGGATGTACATCGTTGTAGAAGATATTTGATTGAGATTGCATGGATTTTTGTGTTTAGGTGATGTGGGGATGTTGTGGAGGAATTTGGGGCGAAATGAAATATGTTAATGGTATATATTTGTAGGGGTAGGTTTGTATTTATTTGTTTATTTTTTTATTTATATGGAAAAAAATGTATATAATAGTATATTAAAGATATTTTAATTATATTAAAAATAATTTATATTATAAAAAAGTAAATAATAATTTTATTTGTTTTATGATATAAATATTGTGGTTTGGTTTAATTAAAAAAACACTTATAATATATAAATAGTTAAATATTAAATATATAAATATAATATATATATATATGAATATATATAATGTATATGTTTAAATAATTTAATTTTGATTTAGAATTGTTATTGTTGTTTTTTGTTATTTATTTTTTAGCTTATTAATTTGGTGATATTAATGGAAAATATAAGGAATAAATTTCCGGAATGAATTTAATATGAAATGTATTGAATTTTTATGTTTCTTTTTTATAATATTTTGTTGTTTTAATATTATATGTTTTGTATATTTTATTTATTTATTTTGGGTGATTGTTTTTTTTTCCCCCCTCTTTTTTGTTTTTTTTTTTTTTCTATTTATATTTGTGTTTTTTTTTGTTTTCGTGTTTTTTGTTTTTTTGTTTGTTTTTGCATATTTATATTTTTGTGTTTAATTCTTGTGTATTGTGTTTTTTATATATTTCTTGATTTTTATATATTTGTTTCTTGTAAATTAGTATAGCCTCGGCATCTTATTTCGTATATATCGTAGAGCCGTTATAGCGATATTTTGGCGGAATCGTTATTCATTTTAATCTTTTCTATATAATATAAGTTGTTGTATTTGTACGTGGCCAAAGTATTCTAAGTTCTTTAGATTTTCGTTTAGAATTCTCATGGTATAATTTAGCCAAATTCTCCAAATATTGGGTCGTTTTTGATTACCTTCTTAAATTGCTAAATGTTACCCCCACAAATATTTAAATTTAACCCCTTATTAAAACATTAAGGGGTTAAATTTGGAGATTTATCCAATTTGAAATGTTCTCTCTGGTTGTTCTCTGTATTTTCCTCTCTCTTTTTCATGTTGTTTTTTTCCTTTTTTTCTCTAGTTCTTTCTGGTTTGTTTCTTCTTTTTTTTCTTTTCTCTCTTTCTTATTTTTTTTCTGTTGTTTTGTCTTTTCGTTTCTCTATCTTTCTTCTATCTTTCTTCTATCTTTCTTCTATCTTTCTTCTATCTTTCTTCTATATTTCTGTCTTTTTGTTTGTTTGTTTTTGTCTTTTTAATTCTCTATTATTTTATTTGTATTTTCTTATCTATCTCTATTCTTCTGTCTTTTAGTTGTTCTATCTCTGTCTGTTTTTGTTTATTTTGTTTTTTTGTCTCTCGGTTTCTCTGTTTCTATCTGTTTTTGTGTTTTTATATATCTTTCTATATATTTATTGTTTTATTTGTCTTTGCATTTTTATATTGGAAGATTTCGTCATATTTAAGTGCGTAGGAACAAACCTGGGGTGAGGTTTCTGAAAAAAATATCAAAGTAAAATTTAAATACGAAAAATAAATAAATAATAAGCCGGTATAGCCTCGAGATGTGCGTCGTAGGGGGAATAGAAAAATATGTTAGCCGAATTTTCGTATTTACGACGAATAATTATATTCGTTTTATTTTTTCTCCGCGGCATAACCAATTTTTTGTTTCTTTGCATAGCTTGGAAGCCTCCGAAATATTATTAAATTTTCGGAAGGATTTTTAATTATTCGTTTAGAATTCTCGTGATATAACCTGACCATGTTTTTCCCCAATTTTTGGGTCGTTTCCGGCCGCCCGGCCTTTAAATCTCCAAACGTTATCCCCGTAAATTTCTGCAGAATTCATCGGATTTCGAAAAACAAAAAAAATAATCAAAAAGGAAAGAAAAAAGGAAGGTAGGAAAGAAAGAAAAAAGAAAAATAATTATGGAGAAAAATAAACAAAGAAAATAAATAAGCTAAGGACAATTAAAAAAATAAGAACATAACAAAAAGAAAGAAGAAAAAAAAGAAAGAGGGAAAACAAGAAATAAGAAAAAACGGAAAAAGGGGGAACAAAAAAGAAACAGAGAATAGGGAAACATAAAGACAAAGAACTAAAAAAACAGAAAAAAAAAGAAAGAAAAAGGAAACATACAAAATCTTTGCAAAATCTTTGAAAACATCGTATCGAATAAGTTCTCAAATAACCCATTAATTTTTTGTTGATTCCTCTTTATTACTCTATTTCTTCGTCTCTCTATTTTTATTTTTTTGTTTCTTTATCTCTTTATCTCTTTATTTCTTTGTTTCTTTGTCTCTTTGTCTCTTTGTCTCTTTGTCTCTTTGTCTGTCTATTTCTTTATTTGTTTGTTTGTCTTTATGTGTGTTATTGTGTGCTTTGTTTTTATATTGGTTTTGTATTCTTATTTCCTATAAATCGGTACGATCTCGGGATTGTACATGTTTAAAGCCATTAAAGCGGTATTTCGGCCGAATCTTCGCGCTTGTAGCGAGTAATTATGTTCGTCTTGGCTTTTTGTTTTTTTGATATAGTCTGGAAAATTAGTATATCGAGGAGTTTTATATATTCTTGTTGAGAGTATGAGAGTGTTTTCTGCATAATTTGGCCAATTTTTAGGTTGTGTCCGGTTACCTGACTCGTAGATTTCTTAGAATTTGGTGACTTGCTCGGGAAATTGGGGACTTGGTTTTATTCGAAATTTATTGAAATATTTATATTTTGTTTCTTTCTCTTTTTCTCTTTGTTATTCTGTTTTCTTAATTATTTATAGTATTTCTTTGTTTTGTGTTTTTTCTTTATATACGTTTTGTGTTTTTGTTTTATTTTCTTCTTTTTGTTTTGTTTATTGATTTTTTTTATTTTATTTGTTTTTAAATATTAATAATATATACAAAAATATGGAGATATAAAGATAAATAGTATAGAAATACAACCCAAGAGATCGAGATAAATAGAGAAACAAAAAAAATAAAGATATAAAGAAATAGAGAGAAGAAAAATAGAGTAATAAAAAAAAAGAAAAAAATGATTTTTGTTGCCTTTTATATTCTTATTTTTTATAAATCGGTGTAACCTCGGGATTATATTTCGTACATATCGTAAAGTCGCTATAGTGATATGTTAGCCGAATTGTCGTTATTGTGGCGAATAGTTATATTTGTTTATAGTATATGATTTTTTGTTTCTTTCGAGTATTTTTCGATCTTTTTGTTTCTCTTTATCTTTATTTTTCTTTATTTCTTTGTTGTTTTTGATTTTGTGTTGTTTTTGTATTGTTGTTTGTTTTATATATGTATTTTTCTTTTATATTAATTTTGTTTTATATTTTTCTATTGTTTTGTTGTCTTTTGTTTTTTGTGTGTGTTTTTGTGTTTTAATATTTATTTGTTTTTTATATATATTCTTTTGATTTATTTGTTTAAAAATAAGTAAGAGTAAACAAATAAATAGATATAAGTATATAGTTAAATAACCAAACAAAAACAGACAAAAATAAAAATAAAACATATAAATAAATAATCAAAAACAAACAACTAATGGTTTTATTCTTAGCTCTTTTAAAACCTTCGCAGATTCGTACAGCTAATGTTTAGCCGACTCAAGCCAAACGACGAAAAGGAGCGAAGCGGCTAGACCGAAGGTCTCAAAGTGCGAAAACCCTCGAAGCACACGCTTGCCTTTTCTTTTGTCACAAGCATGGGGTGAATCAAGTGCTATGTCTGTGATACTTCTCAAAGCAAACGTGTAACACTCATGCCACTAGTATGGGAACGCGCTCATGCCCCCCCAAAGCAAACGTGTGGCACTCATGCCACTGGTGGTAGTTGCTGCTAGGTGGGCGGGTGGGAGCAGCAACTTAGGAGTGGTCGTTTGACCCTCCCACCCACCCACTGGAGCACATCCGAACATGTTAAATTGTTCTGACGATTGACAAATCAAAACCATCACCGAACATACTTCCATATCAAGGTTGTTGCGTGATGCATGCTCTTGTTTGGTCTGCCAATTCCATGACAAACACAACAATCATGTATAGGACAAGAACTTGCAAAGAATATCCCAAATAACTCATAAGTGTTTATAGACAAACACAAAAGTCGGTAAGAATAAGGCTTTATCATATTCCATGACAAATGCTTATTCCTAGCTCTTTTAAAACCTTCGCAGATTCGCACAACTAATGTTTAGCCGACTCAAGCCAAACGACGAAAAAGGTCTCAAAGTGCGAAAACACTCGAAGCACACGCTTGCCTTTTCTTTTGTCACAAGCATGAGGTGAATCAAGTGCTATGTCTGTGATACTTCTCAAAGCAAACGTGTAACACTCATGCCACTGGTGTAGGAATGCGCTCATGCCCCCCCAAAACAAACGTGTGGTACTCATGCCACTGATGGTAGTTGCTGCTGGGTAGGCGGGTGGGAGCAACAACTTAGGAGCGGTCGTTTAACCCTCCCACCCATCCACTTAAGCACATCCAAACATGTTAAATTGTTCTAACGATTGACAAGTCAAAACAATCACCGAACATACTTCCATGTCAAGGTTATTGTGTGATACATGCTCTTGTTTGGTCTACCAATTCCATAACAAACACAACAATCATGTATAAGACAAGAGCTTGCAAAGAATATCCCAAATAATTCATAAGTGTTTGTAGACAAACACAAAAATCGCTAGGAATAAGGCTTTATCATATTCCATGACAAATGCTTATTCCTAGCTCTTTTAAAACCTTCGTAGATTCGTACAATTAATGTTTAGCCGACTCAAGCCAAACGACGAAAAAGAGCGAAGCGGCTAGACCGAAGGTCTCAAAGTGCGAAAACACTCGAAGCACATGCCTGCCTTTTCTTTTATCACAAGCATAGGGTGAATCAAGTGCTGTGTCTGTGATGCTTCTCAAAGCAAACGTGTGGCACTCATACCACTGGTGTGGGAGCGCGCTCATGCCCCCCTTCTCTTGACATGCGCTCCGAACTCATCAAGGAACGCCTTCCAATCCATAGCAACTCTCTTGCACCCCATGCTATCGAAAAAGGAGGTGTCCCCGCGAGACGGGGCGTCACTAATGATCGAGCTTGTGGGCACACGAGCATACCATGCGAGGCACGCCGCATCACTTTCAAGAAAATATGTGAAACTCAAAAGATCATCAGTGTACTCAGCTGCAGACGAGCCTTTGTTAAGGGCAAACTTTACGCCCTCATTGTCAATATATATCATACATTGCTTTTGGCTCAGGTGCGCCTTCCAAATCCAAAAGGACAGAGTGACAGCCAACATCTCGCACCCAAAAATGATGAGTTTGTCTCGCCTCCAGCCCAAACCTACCAAGACAAAATCGGGAACCCGTTCCGAGAAAAAGGCAACATAGTTCCCAGAATGGTCGAGCACGACTCCCCCGACACCAAGTGAGGAGTCGTCCATCTCCCCGGCTCGCGAGGCGTCTGTGAAAACCAGAAATGTTTCCGAGCTACCGCGGGCATCCCGTAATGTCGTTTTCAAAGTTACCCCAATCGAGTCATACGCGTGCTTGATGAGCTGCTTCACTACGACTTTTCCCGAGCGTCCATATATCTGCGCCATAGCGAAATGCATTCGCCCATGTAACTGCAAAGCTTTGGCAGATGTAAATCGGCCTTCAGAAAGGATCGTTCGCAGCTCAAACAGGATTTCCTCCTTGCGTGCTAGCGTATTTGCCAGACAAGCTCTGCCCAACGACATCTCAGAGAGCAAAATTTAAATCCCGAGCCCTGCAACCTCTTTGGCAAAGACCGTGTTCTTGGAGCCCTCGCGAGCATAAACCCATCCCGTCAAATCGAAAAGCATGGTGGCAACTTGGTCGGAGCTCGTGGTCAGCGCTGTGGGAGAGAAAAGCAAAAAGTCATCATAAAACACCGTCCAGGCCAGGTTCAATTGCGAGCAACCTGTGGCCCATAGGGCCACGCTTAACCGTAGAAAGCAGAACACCGACTAAATGGATCCGAACGGGGCCACTCTGCTCCGAAGGAACGCTACCTCGCGCAAATCCGTGTTCCAGACTGCAAGCAATGACCATTCCTTCGAGCCCGCAGCGACGGCCATCTGTTTGTAAGCGCTCTTGAGGTCAAAGCTCTTTCCTTGCAGATCGCCCTCGTACCAGCTGTTGCGCGCCTCCGTGAGCCAAGTGACAAGCAGTGATGCTATGCTGTCCACCGCAAGCATCACTGGCTTTTCGAAAGAGGTAACTGTGGCCTTCAGCTAAGACTGCGACATGTCGTCAATCATTCGCATCTTCTCCTTCTGCATAATCGCAAACCTTCGTGAAACCACCGTGGACTTCGGGAAAGCAGACGCAGGCTCAGGTTGGGCGAGCCAGCCCTTGCATACTTCTTCAAGACAGGCCCTCCACAGCGGCTCCGCGGTGTCCTCTGACGCTGACGATGCTGTCTGCGAAACAATGGTCGCATTTATGGCCGCGCTCATTTGTCTCAGGCACGCTACGGACATGACTGCAGGCTTGAACTGTGCCGGGAAAACATGCGAGCGCTAGACTTCCCCAACCAGTCGCAAAAGTTGGCCGACTTCTGAATCTTCGTAATCCATTTCCTTCAGGAGGTCTTCAAAAAGCAATATGCGCTTGTTGCTCACAATGCTTGCAACTTCGGGGTCAAGAGTAGATTTCAGGTGTTCCTCATCTGCGCGGAGTTGCACCGCCCGACTTATCCACTTCTGAGCCCAATAAAGACGTGCCCTCCGAAACTTCTGCAAAAAACTCGTGAGTGTAGCCCAGCATTGTAGACTTCCGGCGCCGGCTCCCGTATGCACATGCATGATGACAGCTGTATGCAACTAGGCCAGTTTCATGAACTTTCCTCCAAAAACTGGTTTCCCAAAACAAGCTGGTTTTGGGATTTTCCATAGTAAATGGAATGCCCAATCTCAAACACTCGAGCGCGATTTGTTGCGTCAAACGATACAACTGGTTTGCTGCTTCCAGCCGGGGCATATACTGCTCCTCTGCCCATGGAACACCAATGGAAGGGCGATCCACACAAAAACCAGCTCCGGAATCTCTAAGAGATCCAGCAACCGGTGTTGGTCGGTCTCCTTGGTGAGGTCGAGTCGCAAAATAGGAGCACGGCCGCCTTTGCACCGAATGTGGTCGATGCCAAGCGAGGCTTTCATGCCTTTGGCACGTAGCTCGGCCGTGATTCCTGCTGTCCCACAGAAAACTTCGAGACAGAACAACTGCCCCACATCCCGGCCTTTAACGGAGTGAAGCCGGTGCATGCGCTCGTCACATAGTCAGTTACCAGACTTGTGATGCTGGAAGGAATGCAACTGATGACAACCTGCCTTGATGCACACGTGCGCCCCTCTTGGACACATCTGGTCCGGGGAGGCGCCATCGCAACCACCAGGCAAATTGTAAGCAAAACAAATGTTGCGGCCCTTGGCGTCCTTGGTGGGGTTGCCAACAAGTTCACGTGGCATCGGCGGCCCACGTGTTTTGCCCTTGCCCTTGCCTTTGCCGTCCTTGTTCTTCTGCTGAGTCTTCTGGTAGGGCGCTACCCTGGCAGCGGATGAAGAAGATGCCGGCTTTGGCAAAGGCTGCGCATAAATCATCATTTCAAAATTGGTCGACATATCTGCCATCAATTTCTGCAAAGGGTAAGCATCTCTGTCTGGGTGCCGAAGGTCCGGACAATGCTCCGCCATATACGCAAAAGCAGCCTGATCGCATGCCAAGACCTGTGCCATCGAAATTTTGTTGTAGCCAGGCGGGGGTTGCTTCGCCAACATCTTGAAAAGCCATGAAACCCATTTGTGCTGAGTCTCAAAGTCGATCAAACGAGCAAACTCATAGGCAACGCATCGTCTCACCAGGGCCTGATAAACCAAAAACTCTGAGGACGTGTCAGTGGCAACGGCTGGCTTTTGGTCCCTCAGCTTTAGCGCATTCTGCTCAACCGCAATCTCCTTCTCCGGCTTGGCGCTGAGGACCTCTGACTCCCTGCTCGGGCATTTGGACGGCTTCAAGTACTTCAGAACCTTCATCCAATAGGCTGTGACCAACGCAAGTCTTGCTGCCCTCTCTGCAGGGGGGATCTTTCTTACAACAGCGTCCGACGAGCTGGTCTCAACCTGGGACTTCAAATGGGCGGTGATTAACACATGCGCCTCGAAGAGGAGGCGTTTGAGACGTGCAACTTCGGCAATTGGGACCGCTTCAGAAAACTGCTCATCCAGCCATGATTGGAAGACCTCTCCTGACCGGGCTGCCCGAACGAGAAACCAAAATTTCCCAAAGTATTCAGCCCCAGCGTCTCCAAGACCTCAATCGACCCTTCACGGATCCCGATCTCCGTTGCACGATTCTTGAAATGTGCAACTGACTCAAACAAACCAGCCATGGCGGGAAATCTGGGATTTCAAACAGGACACCCATGCGATCGTGAAAATCTGTTTGGCTGCAAAGCGATTCATAAAGCATGTGGCTTGTGAAACTCAACTCCTGCGCATGCATTGTCTACATATATTTTTGAGCTGGCTTAAACTCTGTCCTTCCTTGAGAGCAGTTCTCAAACTGCAGCGAGCACTCATACCTTAACACACGCTCATGAGGGTCGCAATGCTCATGTTGCGCGTTTTCAAACGCACGATTCTGAAGCAAGCAGTTCTCAAACTGCAAAGACTGTCTCAACAGGGTCTTTTCACGGGCCTTCGCTCCGTCACTTGCATCTCATGCACCTCACGGCCTTTGCCGCAAAACCGCGTGGACTAGTTCATGCACGTTGGAGACTTCCCTCCCACACATGGTCTTGCCATTTGACAGGAAATCAAGCACATGTACAATCCTGCTTTTCTTGTGCATGACGAAACCTTGGCATTCAGTGGCCTTTGGAATGTCCTTCATGTTAACACTCGAACCCTCGTCAGGAGAGCCCGCTCCTTCCGAGCGCTTGCATCCGAGCTCAGAGGTAAAACGTCCAGACCTTGTGGCGTCAGGAAAGAACTCTGAAGCCCTGATCGAGTCTACGACCATTTGCAGGGCCCTCAGCGGCTCCGACAGGATGTCCCTGGCGTAGTAGGAATCCGCAGTGGCCACTGAGGATGTGTGTCGTCCCAGTAGGAGACGATGTTCCCGCGGAACACCAAATTTTGCGCACCACGCCAAGCTTGTCGCCTTCATGCTGTGGCTCGAAATGCCAGGCACCCCCAAAAGGCTCCGCAACAGCTTTGTTGCGTTGGTAGACGTCATAGTAAATTCAGACCACGCGCCGCTGTTGTCAACTACGGATGGAAGCAAAGGACCAACGGGCTCCTCCAAGCCAAGTCCAAGCTCCTTCCTCAAGGACAGGAAGGTACGAGGCCAGCAGCCACCCGTGATGCCACGAGCCACGGCTGTCAAAGGCAACAGCTTGCACTTCTTCTCAGCTGATTTGCTGCCCTTGTGGAATCTCGTTGTTGCCTCCAGGAAACCCGTGCCTTCCGAGATGTCCTCGCTCAAGGAATGCAAGGACCGCACATCACTCCACCGGCTCCTGGAATATATGCAAAACAGGAATACCCCAGCAGCATACCGGTCAACCCTGTGGTAGCCCTCGTCCTCCAGCAGCCGATGCATGTAACGTGGGCAGTGGACAACGCCTCAGCCTGCCGCCACACTCCTTTCGCCGCAAGGAGGGAGTTCGACAAACCCATCAAGCGTTTGCTACTGCGAACGTCTTCATCGGACTTCATTCCCAGAACATGCACCATAAAATTGACAGCTTCCAGGAATGACGAAGCCCTCGAGGCCGCGGCATTGATAACCTTGAGCTCGTTGAAGTAGGACCAAATCTGTTGCTCCGTGAGTGGAAACGCTGGTCGTCCCAACTGGGCTTCTGACCATTCCATACTGAAAAACTGATCCCACCCGCTTTCTCAGTGTTAGAGGCGACTTGACGCCAACCGCAGCCTCCAGGCTCAGTCTCAGCTCCTCCGGCTCCATCTGGCTAGCATTCTTGCCCATGGCAAGTTCAAAGCAAACTGCATTGGCCCTGATAACAACCAGCCACTTGTTGATGGCATCTTGTCTGACCTGGGCAGGAGAGGCCCTCTAATGTGAACCACTATCAACGACGCAGTGGAAGCTGGGCCCAGGCCGCACGGATTCAAGCCGAACCTTAGCCTTCTTCCGAGGTTGCTCGGTGCCTGCAGATTCCAGCACTTCCGGAAGGGGTACGAACTCTTTGGACTCCCAGTTCTGTGCAAACGGCTCGTCTGCGGCGAAAATAGCACTCATGCAGCCTGTTTCCCATGGTTGCTTCGGAAGGTTTGATTTGGTAACCCACGCAGCCTGTTTGAGAGCAAAATTATGCACCAGCTTGAGCCCTTGCAAATCTGTTGTTGCAGAGGTTGTTCCGCTCGTGCTCGCGCCACTGAACGCTCGTGCGTGCTGCGTCTCGGGGCAGCTCCGCCACCAAGAGTGTCACTCGGGACACTGTCCAGGGCGTCCTTGGATAAACCACCGTGGCCACCAGCCGCTTCCATGGCCGTTGGATCGAAGGCAGAGAAAATTGAAAAGGGACCAGGCCGTTCAGAGCCGGAACCTGCCTTGTGCTTTGCCGTTGGCTCAAGGAAATTCTGCTGGGCTCCATTTGCAATTGCAGACGGGCTCAGACGGCCCCGTAGTTGCTCCATCCTTTTTGAAGGAGCAACACTGCCGCTCGCCGCCTCACCCCCCCGCACATCTGGGCGAGCATCATCGCACATGACGCGCAGGCGTGGGGTAATGTCGAGACAGTGCAGTCAAAAACTGCCGAGTGTGACGCTGAGCCAAGTGCGCGCCGATGTTGTGAAAGAATCTCTGCAACTTCCTTACGTGGCAAATGCCACGGATGATGACCGACCACGCAACTTGCACTCGGCGAGGCCGTGACAAACGGCGCAGGCACTGTCCCATGCAGCAACTTAGGAGCGGTCGTTTGACCCTCCCACCCACCCACTTGAGCACATCCGGACATGTTAAATTGTTCTGACGATTGACAAGTCAAAACCATCACCGAACATGCTTCCATGTCAAGGTTGTTGCGTGATGCATGCTCTTGTTTGGTCTGCCAATTCCATGACAAACACAACAATCACGTGTAAGACAAGAGCTTGCAAAGAATATCCCAAATAACTCACGAGTGTTTGCACACAAACACAAAAGTCGCTTGGAATAAGGCTTTATCATGTTCCATGACAAATGCATAAGTAGTAGTATGCAAACAACGGCAAATAAAAACAATGGCAAACAGAGGTAAATAAAGACAAATAAACATAAGCAATACTACATAAATAAAATTAATTTATAGTAAAGAAATAAAGATAACCAAAAAATGATAAAATAACAATAAATAAATAATAATAAATAAAAAAAATAAATAACCATAAATAAATAATAATATATAATTTATAACAATTAAATATATAATTTATTTGTTTTCATTTATTTACCCTACCTATTTAAATATCTATATATTTATCTGGTTTCTTTCACCGTATTTTATCTAACCGGCCTAACCTAATCTAATCGTCTATTTTCTTTATTTACCTTTTTTATTTACCTTGATTACCTTATTTCTCAAATGTAATTTATAAATTAAAAATGTATAATATGTTTAATATTATTTATATTTTATTTATAGGATGTTTTGGAAAATGGAAAATCAAGATATATCAAATAAATTATTCTTTTCTTTTCATTCTATTTTTTAAAATATTTTATTTTTTAAGATAAATTTTGTATTTAAAGATTTCTATTAAAGATAAAGAAAAATATAATTATTAATAATTATTTGTTTTTATTTATATAATAATATCTTTATTTAATTAATATTTTCTAGAACATATAATCGAATACCTAACTATAAATAATGGTATAAAATTTCATATTTCTCTTCTATGTCTTTTTCCCTCTATCGTTCCATTTCTCTCCGCCTCTTTCTCTCCGCCTCTCTTTCTCCGCCCTCGCTCTGCCTCTCTCTCCCCGCCTCTCTCTCCGCCTCACCGCCTCTCTCTCTCCGCCTCTCTCTCCCCGCCTCTCTCTCCCTCCGCCTCTCTCTCCCTCCGCCTCTCTCTCTCCGCCTCTCTCTCTCCGCCTCTCTCTCTCCGCCTTTCTCTCCGCGTCTCTTTCCGCGTCTCTCTCTGCGTTTCCGTGTCTTCGCATCTTTCTGTGTCTCTCTTTTTCTCTTTCTGTTATATCTATCTCTCTCTATTTCTTTCTATCTTTTGTCCTCTCTTTTTCTCTTTGTTTCTTTCTCTCTCTCTTTCTCTCTCTCTTTCTGTTTTTCTTTGTCTCTTTATATTTCTTTTTATTATTATGTTATATTTCTCTCTCTCTTTACCTTTCTCTATTTTTATTTATCTCTTTATCTTTTTCTCTCGTTTTATATCTCTGTATTTTTGTGTTTTTTATATCTCTGTTTATCTTTGTCTGTGTTTCCATCTTGGCTTATGTTTCTCTATTTTGGTTTGGGGTTTTCTCTATTTGTTTTTGTTTGTTTCTTGTTGTTTTTCTTTCTGTTCTTCTTATGTATGTTTCTTTTTGTGTGTTAATTTAAATCTTTTTGGTTTTGTTGTTTTTGTTTCTATTTACGGTTGCCCGATTTTGATTATGGTTGGTTTTGTCTATTTATATTATATTATTCTTTATTTTCTATTTTTCGGTGTTAATATGTTATAACATTTGTTTATTTTGGTTTATTTATTTTTAGTTTTTTAGTTGGTATTTGTGTGTTTTGTTGTGTTTTGTTTGTTTAAGGTTTTTTGCATTAGAACTTACAATTCTATTAGCCCTTAACGATAATTATAATCTTTAAAATTCTGCAAATATGTGGGATATTGCCGTGGTGTTTGGCCTTAAGATAGGCTTGTTTAGGGATAATTTGCTAGATATGGCTACAAATGCAGTTTTTATCTTAAGAATCGCACTAACCGCGCTAGGGTTTCGAGGTCAAAAGAAGTACCGGATTGTATTCGAAGTGCGTTCGGCTGTAAATCCCTTAATGAC